GATGGTGGTGTAGTGCCTAAGGCAGTTGACTGCTAATCAGAAGCCTGGCGGTTCAAACCCACCAGCCACTCCTTGGAAGGAAAATTGGGCAATCTACTTCCGTAGAGATACTGCCATGGAAACCCAAGGAAGGGTCGCTATGAGTCAAATTGACTCGATGACAGTGAGTTTGGTTTCTTTGGTTTTCCTTCATATTATTTCTTTGTAAGTAGGCAATGATTTTATTTATCTAATAAATCCACATAATCTTGTTCATTTCAAATTTTTAATTAAAATATTTTAAGATATACTGGGCCAATAAGCAACATCATGATAAAAAGAGAAAAGATTGAACTTGTCATGGACTTCATTTTACTTGGATCCACAATCAACACCCATGGAAACAACAGTCAAGAAATCAGGACATGATGCATTGGGCAAATCGTCTGCAAAAGACCCTTTTACAATGTTAAAGCATAAGGGAACACTGCAAAAAAAAATAAAATAACATTGCCCCCCCCAAAAAAAAGTGTTAAAAAGAGGTCACTTTGAAAAGCAAACATATACTTCACATTATCATGGTTATTTTTATAATAGAGTGATATCATCAGCTTACTGTTTAGTGGCTAGCACTAAGTTAGTCATGTTTTGGTTTAGAAGGGAGATCTATAGAGTATCCTTATTCCTTTTTCCTGTCTTTTGACTTTAAAAATGAAAAAATACTTTATCGAAAATAAAAACATTGTTAAGAAATAATATGCTAATTTAAGAAATAATATTCTGTCTTTTATATTATCATTTTATAATATGTATCTTAAGTAAATTGACCCTTTTTTAAATAACAGCTTTATTGAAATATTAAAGTGCACAAAGTGGTTTTTACTGAATTCAGAGCTGTATAATCACATCACAATCAAATTTTCATCATCTCTTTCCTCCCACAAAAAAACCTTTAGCCATTCATTAGCCATCACTCCCCTTTTCCTCCTATCCCCATCCCTAGACAACCATTAATCTACTTGCTATTATTTATAATTTTGCCTATTCTGGGCATTTCATATTAATGGAATAATACAATATGTGGTATTTTGTGACTGGCTTCTTTTATTTAGCATAATATTTTCAAGGTCATCTATATTGTAGCATATATTAGTGTTTCATTTTTTATGGCTTACAAATATTTTATTGTTTGGAGATGCCACCTTGTACTAATTCATCAGTTGATGAAAATTTGGGTTGTTTTCAGTTTTGGGCTGCTACCAGTAGTGCTGGTCTGAACACTAGTGTGCAAGTTTTTATGTGGACATATGTTTTCATTTCTCTTGAATATATACTTAGAAATGGAATTGCTAGATTATATGGTAGTAACTCTATAGTAACCGTTTGAGATGTCAGATTGTTCACAAAATGGCTAACCCATTTCACATTCCAGCCAGCAGTGTTTTAGGTTCTAATTTCTGTATACCCTAACCAACACTTGAAATATCTTATCTTTTTGATTATGGATGTTCTAGTGGGTATCAAGTATCTCATTGTGGTTCCTATTTGCATTTCTTTGAGGGCTAATGATATTGAACATCTTTTCATATGCTTATTGGCCATTTGTTTCCTGTTTTTTTAAATTTGGGTGGAAGTTTACAGAGCAAACTGGTTTTCCATTCAACTGTTCATGTACATTTTGTTTCATGACATTGAATGCAGTCCCCACAATGTATCAGCACTCTTTGCACTTTCTCCTTGTGGCTATCATTTCTACTTGTCCACCTTTCCTGTCCTTTCCTGCCTTCTGAGCTTTATCCCTGGGCATATGCCGCCCTTTCTTTAGATCTCCTGTTTGATTGTTCTATAGAAATACATTCTTCCCTGGTGTTAGTATTCACCCCACAGGCCTGTCTGTTGTTTGGCTGAAAGTTCCAAGCCTGAACTTGATTTGCATCCAAGCCTTGGGGGCTCCACCAGTCTCTGTCCGACCACTAAGCCTTTTTTATGGTTTTGAGTTTTGATCCACAGGTTTCTCCCACTCTATCTAGGATCTCCTACTGTGGTTCCTTTCAGAGTAGTCAGCAGAGATAGCCAGGTACCATCTGGTCCTCTGGTCTCAGAGTTGTGGAGGCTGAGATTCATGCGGTTCACTAGTCCCTTGGACTAATAGTTTCCCTACATCTTTGATTTTCTTCACTCTTCTTTGCTCTGGACAAGGAGAGACCAATAGTTGCACCTTAGATGGCCTCTCGCAAGCTTTTAAGACCCCAGTCGCTACTCACCAAAGTAGGATGTAGAACATTATTTTTGTGGATACTTATTGGCCATTTGTGTATCTTCTTTGCAGAAATACCTATTCAGATCCTTTGTCCATTTTTTAATTTATTTATTTATTATTGAATTTTAAGAGTTATGTATATATTCAGATACAACTCCCTTAGAAGAGGTAAGATTGGCAAATAATTTCTCTCATTCTATGAGTGTCTTTGCACTTTCTTGATGGTGTCCTTTATGGCACAAAAGTTTTAATTTTGATAAAGTCCAATTTACCTGTTATTTTTGTTCCTTATAATTGTGGGGTCATACTTTAAAAACATCACCTTATCCAGGTTCACAATGATTTATGTTTAAGTTTTCTTCTAAGAGTTTTATACTTTTAGTCTTATGTTTAGGTCTTTGATCCATTTTAAGGACCTCTGTCATGTAGTGCCTAAGGCATTTGACTGCTAACCAGAAAGCTGGCAGTTCAAACAAACCCACCAGCCACTCCGTGGAAAGAAGACTGGACAATCTACTTCTGTAAAGATTTACTGCCTCGGACACCCACAGTGGGTTGCCATGAATCAACTCGATGGCAGTGAGTTTTTTGATCTATTTTGAGTTAATAATTTTTGTATTTGATTTGAGGTCTAGGGCTCTAGCTTCAATCTTTTGCATGTGAATATCTACTTTTAACCTTTCTTTTTAATGTGAGTGAGTATATGTTTGTTCTTCTTGATTTTAGGCCCCTGCACAGTGTCTACAGGGACAGTGGCAATGGGGTGTTCCTCAGGTAAATAGTAACTTCCAGTATCTAAGTTAAAATACTTTTTTCATTGTGTTTTTGTGAAGACTATATGAATATTAAAGTCAAGAGAACTAGGTTTGAGACCCTTCTCTCCTATTTAGTAACTGTGATATCTTGGAATTCATTTATTCACTGTATTTCCGAGTTGCCTCATTTATTAAGTGAAAGTAATGATACCATACCTTTGTAAGTTTCCTTGCATGGTTTTTGTGAATCACAAATCAAATGAGATCATGTAAAATGTAAATAGAAGCATCTTATAAATAATTGAGTCCTATATAAATATGAAGGAGCTCTGGTGGCTCAGTACCTAAGGCATTTGACTGCTAACCAGAAAGTTGGCAGTTCAAATCCACCAGCCACTCCACGGAAGGAAAATGGAGCAGGTCTACTTCCATAAAGATTTACTGCCTCAGAAACCCAATGGGGGTTATTATGACTTGGAATTGACTCAATGGCAGTGAGTTTGGTTTTTTTGGTTTTTATATAAACATGAAAAATACTTTTTGTTGTTGTTATTATTAGTGTTATTGGAAAATTTAGCATTTTTCTAGACTCACTTTAGATTTTACTTCAGTTTGACTTATGCTGCTATTCCATTTCCCAACTTTCCTATTCTGTTTCCCAATTTTTGATAACAAATAGCATTAACACCAGAAATTATTGTTTAATGACATTTTTTCACTTCCATAGGAAGTCACAATTAAAGCTGAGAACAGAAATGTATGTCAGTTTATACTTTTTAATGGTGATCTTAATGTTTCTGGAATAGTTTTCTGAATTTACGTATGAGGTTCAGAGGCACTAGTATTTACCAGTGATAAAGTTCTTTAATGACATCTACATAATGAGAATTTATAACAACTGAATTCCTGCTCTGTTGCTAGAATACTCCTATGCTATCACTGAGAAATGAACTTTTAAAAAAGTATGAAACAAATACATATCTTATCTGTTAGATAAGTTGGTTTTTTTTAAATAGAAATACTTGATCATATTTGAATTAGAAGTATGGTTTTGTGTTTTAGTCACCTGCTTCTTCTGCTCCATTTTTATACCTGCAACCCTCTGAGGTTATTTATCAGCCAGTGGAAATTGCACAAGATGGTGGATGTGTTCCTCCTGCACTGTCTCTGATGGAAACTTCAGTTCCAGAGGTATGTCCTAGTCTTTAAATTGTTCTGTAACTACCTCATCTTAATATTTATTTTTTTTTATTTGTTCAAAACCCTTTTTGAAGATGCTTCACATATGATTTATTCACATAAATTTTCCCCTTTATGATACCTAAAAATGCTTCACCTTAAACTTCTTCACTCTAACTAGTTCTAAACTATCTCCCAAATCAGCTGGTCACTAGGCTAATCCCTGACTCCATCTCTTTTAATAGTAAGATACCAAATACTTCACCTTCCAGTTTTGCCTGTCGGTCTATATTATTGCTAATATTCTGTCAATTAAAACCGTGTAATAATTATGTCAAAAAGGAAATAAAAATCAGATTTCTTCCTACAAAATTTTAAATCAAATTTCTTTTATAAATACAAATTGTAAATCTCATCCTCAATGTCTCACTTTAATTCCTGAAACATTACTAATAGTTTCATTGTCCATGTGCCAGGAATTATGCATGGGTGTGTTTTAAATCAGTGATGTAACAGATTAAGAAATTGCATACACCTCTCAATTTTAGATGTTTAACTATATTATTATTTTATATTGCTAAAATTTATCATTATAATTCTGTTCCGGAACAAAAATTTCCACAGTTGATCAGTTTAAATTCTATATTGAAATGAATTTTAATGTATACTATCCATACTTTAACTAGAATTCCTCCATTCTTTCTCCTGTTCTTCCCCATTTTTCATCACTTGGTTGACTGATCTTGAATAGTCTTTTTTTTCTAAAAGGCTTATAGTGCTGTAGTCTCTTAGTTCTTTCATGCTTAAGAGTGTTTGTTGCTTATATACCTAAAGGAAAATAAGGCTAGCTACAAAATAATTGCATCATACTTTTTCCCTTAGAATTTCCAATCCACTTTTTTCTGGCACTGAATATAAATGTAAATGTAAAGTTGAAGCCAGACTAATTTTTTCCCCTTGTACATAATTCATTTTCTTCCTGGGTGCCTGAAATATCTGTCTTAATGTGACATTATCTCACCAGGATATGTGTTGGTATTTATCAATCTGGATAATTCTCCTGGGACACAGTTTGCCTTTTTGATTTTCATGCTCCTTTATGTCAGGGTGGCTTTTATTGTTTTGTTTTTTACTATTAGAGCTTTGAAAAACTAATTTATTCTACTTTGGTTTCTTCTTCATGAATACCAATTATGTACATGTTAAATATCTTTTGTTTCTCATATTTGTTATATCCTAGATAATTTTTTTAGAACATGCTTTTTAATGTTGTTTTGTATAGTTTTCCAAGACTGTCTTCTATGACTGTCTCTATTTTTTTTTTATTGTGTTTAGTCTACTTTTTATTCTAACCAGTGAGGCTTTCATTGCTGTAATAGTTTTTTTCTATTGCTTTGTATCTCAAGCTCTGCCACCTTGCTTTTCATTTCTTCCCTTTTGTCTTAAAATCTTTTTTTTTTTTTTTTGAGCTAATTTTTGAGTTCATATTACTGTAATTCCTTTAACATTATAAAGAATTATATTTATCTGAACTTTTCCTCTATTTTCTGGGACACTTCATCTTTTTCTTCAGCTTTTTGCTCTTTCCTTGATGGAGTTGGGGTAGAATGGAAAGAGGCAGTGTCCATGCTTAGGTTGCTTGCTTGTTCTTGCCTCTCTTTAAATCAAAGAAAGAAAAGAAAGCCATTACTATCAAGTCATTTCTGACTCATGGCAATCTTATGTGTCTAGAGTAAAAAATGAACTCCATGGTTTTTCAACGGCTGTGACCTTTCAGAAGTAGATTGCCAGGTTTTTCTTCTGAGGAGCCTCTAGGTGGGCTTGAACCTCCAACCTTTTATTTAGTAGTCAAGTACTTAACTATTTGTACCACCCAAGGATTCCTACCGTCTTGTAGGAGGCAGTTATTATTTTTCTTTGACCCAACTCCCACCAATGCCCTAATTCTGTACTGCCTTTCAATGCTGAGCTTTTTTAAAAAGTAGTGTACCATTGCCTTGGTGGTACAGTGGTTAAGCACTTGGCTTCTAACTGGAAGGTTGGCAATTCAAACTCACCAGTGGCTCTGAGAGAAAAGACCTGTGATCTGCTCCTGTAAAGATTTACATAGAGCCTGGGAAACTCAGGTCTGTCTTACAGGGTTGCTACAAGTCAGAATTGACTCAACAGCACACAGCAACAGTCTCCATTAACTACCTCTTCACCACGCATTCACTCCTCTACAGTAGTCTGCTTAATTACCTCCCTGCTGAAACTGCCTTTGGTAAAAATCTTCAATGACTTCCCAATTGACAAATACTTTTCCTTCTTTTCAATCTTAATTGACCTCTCAGAGACATTGGACATCCTTTTTAAAACTCTTCCTACCCTTGGTTTCCATGATGATGTTCTCTTCCGGCAATCCTTTTACCTCCTTTTATTTTCCTTTGTAAGCTGATCTTTCGTTCCTTATGATTTCATTTTTGGTTTTCTCTATTTTCACTCTATATACTCAGGCTGGTGTTATCACTCATACCCCTATCTCTAGCCCCAACTTCGCTCATGAGTTTTAGACTTGCACTGTCCAATACATGTGGCAGTTGAACACTTAAAACATACTAGTCTGAAGTGATATTTGCTGTAAGTGCAAAATACAAGATTTTGAAGATACAGTTTGAAAAAATAACTCAATAATCTTTGTATTGCTTACATGTTGAAATGATGGTTTTTTATATATTGGTTTACATAGACTAGATTGTTAAAAATTAGTTTTACCTGTTTCTTATTTTTTTAATGTAGTTACTAGAAAATTTTTTTTAATTTTTTAAAAATTACATATGTAGCTTACGTTATATTTCTATTGGACAGTGCTACTCTAGAACCATCTACTTTTCAATCAGTGATACACTTCTACTGGAAATCCTTCAAATACCTCAGATTTTATGTTTCTCCCCTTCTCTAAACCTCTGCCCCTCCCCTCCAGCCTCCTCACACACAATTACATAAACATCGAACTGTTTCTTACAGTCCATATAACAGTATGGTACCACCATCTGCTGGACAAGTCATTACACTGCTTTTACATTTGTCCCTTTCCTATTGCTCTACTGCCTCACTTTTCTGAACTCATAGAGACCCCTTCTTGGGTTTCTGAGATGATATCATTACATCACTTCGGAAGTAGATCGCCCAACCTTCCTTCCGAGGAGTGACCAGTGGGTTTGAATGGCCAGCCTTCTGGTTAGCAGTCAAATGCCTTAGGCACTATGCCACCAGGGCTCCTAACTTTTATTGTGATTTGGATGAAAGTTTGCAGAGCAAATTCATTTTCCATACAGTAGTTCATATACATTTTGTCTCATGACATTGACTGTAATTTTCCACAATGTAACAGCCCTCTTCCCACTTCCTCCCCATAGTTACCTCTTCCCTGTGTCCTTCCCTCCCATGCACTCCAGCCCCCACCCCAGCCGTCTCCCTGTGCATACACTGCCCTTCTGTTCTCCCATGACTGATCACTACAAGGGGTGTATCAACCTGATGTAAATGTTCAGCCCATAGGCCAGTCTTTTACTTGGCTGGAGGCCACAGGAGTGAGTTCAATTCCAGACCTGAAGGGCAGCTAGGGGCCATAATCTCAGGGGTTTCACCAGGCTCCATCAGACCAGCAAACCTGGTCTTTTTTTTTTTTTTTTTTTTAAATATAATTTTGAGTTTCGTTCCACATTGCTCTCCCCCTCTATCCAGGATCTCCTACACAGATCCCCCTCTGAGTGGTTGACAGTGGTACCCAGGCACCATCTAGTTCTTCTGCTGCCTTGTTTTTCAACTGTCCTTTAGTGTATAATTTTCTTGCCAGCCATATCAAAAATCCTGGGCACATCTCCCAAATGAATTAAGCTCTTATTTGCTTCTGTGCCTTTGTTCATACTGTTCCCTTTGCCTCTCTTGCCTTTATGCCTTATTCATACTACTACCTCCTTTCCCTAATTTTTCAGGCTTAAACATTAATTCCACTAGGACACATTCCCTAACAGTCCTCTTTCATAAACTAAATGAAGTAGTTTTTTATTTCTCGTATGTATCCCTATAAATATCTCATAGGACTTCATGTTAATTTTTACTATTTGTCTATTTTCCTAATCAAGCTATAAATTAATTAAAGATAGGAAATGTGTTTTTCCTCTCTTTCCCCATTGTGTAACAGATTGCCTAGTATATTGTAATGTTGAATAAATAATTTGAATTAATAAATGAAAAGCAATGTCTCTCTCTCTCTCTCTCTCTCTCTCTTTTTAACTTTATTTTGGAGTAGTCTTATTCTGATCATGGAGTTCAAGCAACGTATCACCAGGTTTATGCTCCAAGCGCCATTGCTATGCCTGCACCTATGATGCAGCCTGAGCCAGTTAAAGTAAGAAGCTTGTTTGTTTCATGTGAAGTAACTACAATTCTAAGTTAACTGTATTTCTTATTTTCATTAGTATTAAAGAAGTTATAAACCATACATGGTCAAATTTTGATTATCTGTGTTAACGGTATGTGACATTTATGGGATGATGAAAACAATTAATCTGCTCTTCCAGTTTGGGGATCATGCTTACGCTTCCTAAATCAGATACAGGTCAAAGAGTGTAAGCTAGTTAGATTCAAGCATATATTCAATATATTTTGACTCTCTACTATGTGGTGAGAAATTCTGTTTATTCCCTGTGATTTAGTTTCTTAGTGAAATTTTTGCATCATCACTTTAGGGAAATGGACTGCATTTCTAGTAAACAACCACTGTTGTGATGGTAATATGAATCTTGCTTGCAGGGTACTTTGATGAGGGAGGTAGGTATGCTCTTTAAAATAATATAATGAAGATCAGTTAATTTCACATTCATATTTTAGGCTTCTGATTCATCCCATGTGTTGAACTCAATACAAAACAGTTTAAGTGTCTTCCCCGTGATCTCACATCCCCTCACCTCGTAGTACTATGCACTGCCGTCACCACTTAACTGCAAACGTGACATACAATCATAAGTTTGACCTAAACCCATTGCTCTCAAGTCAATTCCAATTCATAGACAGAATACAACTGCCCATATGGTTTCCAAGGCTAGAATCTTTACAAAAGCAGACTGCCACATCTTTCTCCCACAGAGCAACTGGTGGGTTCAAACCACTGACCTTTCGGCTAGCAGTTGAGCACTGTGCCAACAGGCTCCTACTTTTGACCAAGAGGGGCAAAAAAAATAATAATAATAATAATACATATTTCTAATTCCTCTTGTTAGAAAGGAGGTGACAAAAGGAAAATTTAATAAACTTTCCAAGTCAAAACTAGTCATAGGATTATTATATCAAGTGTTATATATATATATTTTTTTAAGGGTAAGTATTTTATGCATTTTATGCTTAGTATTTTTCTTTTGGTGACTTGGTGACTTTCCATAGAAAATTGGGGCCATTCAAGGACAGAATCTCAAAAATCACTTCTTTTTTTTCTTTTTTTTTTTTAGAACTGTACAATGCTATAGAAATGCTTTCCTATATAAGTTTTTACTCTGTGACAAAATATCCACTTTTTTTTATACTACATGTCTACTATAACATGAAAATGTTAATACACAATTGTTATATCATTAGGAGACAACCTTTTCCTAAAATGTATTAAAGTAGACTAATATTAAATATTAACGAATGACACTTAAAACAATAGCCTTTATTCTTCCTATGCAAATTTCCTTGATGTACAAAAAACCTTGTTGACTTTTAAAATAGAAAGGTGGAAATATTCTCTGGAAGTATTTGAGCCTGTTGTTTTATAAGTGTAAGCAATTTTTCAAACTCTACTGTAATTTTTCACTCTCATGATTATAATTTTAAGGATGTTATTCAAGTGTATTTCACAGTAGCAGTTTCAAGTGTCAAAACTATCTTGAAACAACAATTCTAATCAATAAAATAGAGACCTCCCTGCAGAACTCAGAGTACAAGCCTAACTGCTATAAAAGTACTGCTTCCCATAAACACTCTTGACTGTAAGCCATAGGCTGTCATAATCTGTCAAATCAAATATTTATAGCAAAGGAGACTAACATTCATCAGAGTCACATCTTAATTTAAAAAATTAAGTTTTAAAGTCAGTAAAGCAAAAACTATAAAACATCAGCATTATCCTTGTCAAGAAGAAAGAAGAAAACCAAAATTAATGGAAACAATCAGTCCTAGTGACTGGTACACCATCACATCTGCAACCTATACAACTATGAGACCAGAAGAACTAGATGGTGCCCAGCTACCACTGACATCCACTTGGAAGGGATGTAGGAGATCCTGCATAAAGAGGGAGAACAATGTGGTACAAAACTCAAAATCATTTGGAGGCAAAAAAAAAGAAGGTGGGGACCAGGTTTGCTGGTCCAATAGAGCCTGGTGTAACCACTGAGACTATGGCCCCTAGCTGCCCTTCAGGTCTGGAATTGAACCCACAACTGTGGTTTCCAGCCAAACAAAGTACAGGCATGTAAGTTAAACATTTACCTCAAGTAGACACACGCCCTGGAGAGAACAATCATGGGAGAAGGAAGGGCTGCTTATGCACAGGGAGATAGCTCAGGGTGCAGAAGAGTATGAAGGGATGGACACTGGGAGGAGGTAACTATGGGGAGGAAGTGGGAGGGGAGCTGCTGCATTGTAAATTTTGGTCAATGACATGAGACAAAGTATATGTGAACTGCTGTATGAAAAGTGAATTTACTCTGTAAATCTTCACCCAAATCCTAATAAAAAAAAAAAAAATCAGCATTATTCTACTCAACTAGACTACAGGAAGGAACAAAAAGAAAATCTTTGTGCACCTGGGCATTCAGACTGTTAACCTTTTAAAATAAATATCGAATTTCTAGGAATAAAAGTTAAGATATTTCTGTTTTCCTACAGTGTTTTTCTATTTTTTACACTTATAAATAAGTGTCTAATAAACTTGTTCTTGTGAGGATTAATTAAGATACTGAAAACTGGGAAAAAAAATATCATTTGACGTTCACCTTTAAGTTAAATATGCATTTTAACTCCAATATACACTAGCTCTTAAAGATAATATATAATATGAAACTGAAAATTCATAACAACACTAAATATTAAGGATTACATTTAACCACTTGGCAGACTATGAGGAACTGCTTCAAATTAAAGCACTTATTGGACTTGAATGAAAAACACAATTACTGATCTATGTACATTACCAATCATTTTACTTGAAACCTCAGGAGAAAATTGCCTCAAGGCAAAATACACAAAATATCTGAGGAGATTATAATAAGACATACACATGTATACATGGACACAAACACACAGGAACAGCCAGTGATAGCTATTCTTTACAGGTGTAGCTGAAAGAATAAAAATTTTAAATAACAAAACCATCAACATCATGCACCTTTGGGGAAGACTTCATATTCTTGCTTAAGTCTGTTTTTTCTTTGATCTTACCCAATTTTTCAAATAAAGTTTACAAATGACTTTTACCTCAAACTTCTTTTGTAATTATGTGGAAATAATTATGTGTCTCACTGGTCCTGTTTAAAAGATTGTCTTCTAGATCTTTGTATTACTGACACAGTGATTTTCTATATCCTTTTTTATTACTCACCTAAAAAATGGAATTCAGCTGCTTTCTATTGTGTGAACATTTGGGTTGGTTTTCCTTTATACAACGAAATTCAATAAACTTAATCAGGTATATAAGAATATACTGAAAACTGTTATACATTTTCTTGGACATTCTTCAGTAATTCATAGTTTAGGTGTATTTTTCATGTAATGTTGTTTAAGAGTGTTATATTTACCACTTATATTTCAATCTTCAGAGGAATGTATTAATAACACTTAAAGAACAAATATTTTGTCCTCCTTAATTCTACCTATAATTAAATGTTTTCAATACAAATTTTTTTATTGCAAAATGAAAATGCCCTGCTTTTTCATCTCTTAAAACTTTAAGAAAGAGCTCTTCACGTAATCTTGGAAATTTTAACTAAGGTTCATTAAAAGCTTCCTCACTCAACTTTTAAAATAGGCCAAATAATTTTTCTACTGGAAAAATAATGGGTATGATTTATTTCCTATTCCAAACTGTCAATTTTGTCATTTTCGTGTAATGATTGTACCTGAATTCCTTCATTTTCCATTTCTGATCGTGACTTTTGGTGGATCCCAGCCCCCTATTTTGGATGCTTCTTAAGTTTTCTTAAAAATAAGGAAAGGAGAGTTCCATCAGGATGGCAGACTAGGCAGAAAGACTGCACGGACCCTCTTCAGCAAAGAAAAGGGAAACCAATTAACACAAAAGATAATCTTGTACCACTGAGCCTTGAAGGGAAGGATATAGAAGTGGACTAAACCCCAACTAGCAGAAAAATTTGCAGGAAAATACCAAAAAAGGAGACATACAGAGCTGCGGACTGGCAGCAATCCTGAGCCACCCTGACAGCACAGACAGCTTGGAGATTCTTGAATGGTGGTAGGACCTAAGAATTAACCTAAAAATCAGCCCTACTAGCCAAGGACTGCACAGAGGACTGCTCTGGTGGCTAGGGAATAAATGGAGAAGGTGAAGAGAAAGGCAGGATGAGCTGTGGACTTTTGCCAGTCCAGAGGATACTGCCATTTTGAAGGTTTAAAAGC